CAAGATGCTGCAGGGTAGAGTAGCTTTAAAGGACACCGGTCGGAGAGGCCAAACCGGTGGACAATCAATTAAATGGCAAGACAAAGTGCCTTTAAAATGGTGCATCAGGTCAAAGGGATGCAGGGCTCCATGGACCCGAATTTGCTTTCTCTCAGCAGGGAGCTGGGCTATGGGGTGAACAGCACACCTGTGTGCTCTCCTACATGCTGAACTCAGGCTGGTCCATTCTGCGGTCTATCTGGCTAAACCCCGATAGGGCGAGGGTCATGGTTATAGCTACTGCCTTTTGGTTGGGGCTTTAATTAAGAGGTAGTATTATTAAAGCAGCAGATGTTCCTAGCCTGAGGATGTAGGCCTGGTTATATCAAACAGATGGTGCCAAGCAAAATCTCTCCCTTTAATGAAGAGACATTTGCAATTCATGAGCGTTCTGTGATGACCATTTCTTTCACTTGCCAATGTTCTGCCTGTCAGAGGGTCGTATTGTGGGGACCTACAAGCATGATGAATTAGGTGCACCTCCTTCTGCTTCCAGACCTGGTCTTATGCTGATGAAAATGAAGAGTGTGGTCTCCCCCGGGATCAAAGGATTCCACTCTCTAGAGTGGAGACCTCACCTGCTCTCCTCTTACTAGCCTGGTGTTCTGGCTGATGGCCAGGCCCAGTGCAGGATCCAGAGCAAGGAAAGAACTAGTTCCTCTATTTAATGTAGGAATCGTTCTCTTTGGGCTCATTTGGATCTTTCTACCTGAAGGCTCTGTGGATGGAGGCTCAGGAGAGATATATTTTTATCTATAAGCAAAATACTCTGGTCAGGGATTAGAAGAGGCAACCTAAATGATACTGTGAATTAACTAACAGTCACCCCAACTCTGTATTGGTGCCCTTTGATCTGATCAGCTATTCTCTGCTGCAGTACATTTGCAATCTACCTTGGGCCCCAAGAAAGAGAAGATTCAGAGCTAAGCATCTTGTGTGGAAGGTGAACTGATCCTTAGACACAAAATGTCTTTTTCCTATCATTTTCAAAGCGACAGTACCCCAAAACTCAGGAGACATCTTGTTCTTGTTCTGCTCTAGTAATAAAGTCATAACATCCCCCAAACTCCTCCAAGGACAAAGCTGATGATCACACTTGTGACTTGTTTTAACTCTGCACACCTTCCTCATGGTCTGCTTCCAATTCTCCCTACTTAACCCGAAGCCAATGCTTGTATTCTGAAGACGGCTGAAGAGGTACTAAGGGCTGCCTTCCCATGGCTGCCATGCAATGTATCTTTCTCTGCCCTTTGCTGTATCCCTTTATTTGGCATTTCGGGGGTGAGTAGTTAGACCTAACTTGGGACTCCTGGACTTTGGACCTGGGGTCTAAAAACTGAGTATCAAGACATTTAGGTTTTGCTTTTATTGACCAGAGTAACACAAGGCAAGCCACACCATACCCCCCCCCCCCCCCACACACACACAATCTGCGAATAGCCATGCGCATGTTTCTGTCTCCTCAGGCAGATGCTCAGGGAAGGTTTCCTTCAGGTGAATTAACTCGCCAAGAAACTGTGAGACTTCAGGGAGACAAATGAATAGACACCATTTTAAGTAATGTGTAGACTGATTTATGTTAATATGAGAGTCTGTGAGGTGTAACAAGGCCGGGGACATGAAGTTGTGGGTGATGCCCCCATACCAGAGAAAAACACATGGATCACAGATTAATGATAGAATAAAGCCAGAATCAACAAAAAATGACGCATTTACATCAATTTTCCAGCTTTGAAGTGGCATCCTCTTTGAAAATGTGGAATCTATAGATGTATTTCATCTGGCAGAGATTTGAAATGCTATATATCCAGCTTCAAAAGTCCTTTTTGGCAGGAAGTTGGGGAGAAAGCACAAAAGGATGTAGGGTACAAGACTGGTTTTGTTAGTGCTCTACCACTGAAGCCATGCCTCCAACAAAAGTCTCAAGGACTTTTCTGTCCAGGCTGGCTTCAAGCTTTGATCCTCCAGATCTCAGCCTCCTGAGTTTCTAAGATGACAGTCATGAACCATTGGTGCCCAGAAAGCAACCTTTCTGACCTCTTTGTCTGCTTCCTGGAGCCCTCTCCTGAGTTCTCAGGCTCTTTGCACATCCTTCAGAGTCTCAGGGCAAATCATGATGAAGAAGCCTTGTTTAAGGCAAAGCCCTGATAATAGTGCTCTAGCCACCCTGAGCCTCAGTTGATTGTCAGCTGAGAAATCATCAGATGAGCAAGTTCACTCCAAGGAAGAGATGAACAACACTACCTGGCCTGGGTAGTAGACTTCATTACCCTGTGGCTCCAGTGGAAGATATATATCCTGGACATTATAAACGTCTTAAGAAATAGAACTTCTTTGTACAGCTGTTTAAAGATTAGAAGAAAAATAAATTTACCAAGCATGAGTGACTCACACCCATAATCGTAGCTACTCAGGAGGCTGAGATCTGAGGATCACGATTCAAAGCCAGCCAGGGCAGGAAAGTCTGCATGACTCTTTTCTCTAATTAAATTATCAAACAAAAAAACAAAAACTATTGAAATGGAGATGTGTCTTAAGTGGAAGAGTGCCAGCTTTAATAGATAAAAAAAGCTAAGCGACATGAGGCCCTGAATTCAAGCTCCAGGATTGGCCTAAAATAAAATAAATTTAATAAAAACAATGTCTTAAGGAAAAGCAATAAGTGCATAATAAAGTAATAGGCATATTCCCAATCTTAAAAGTGTTCCCATGCATGCAACAATATATGCATTCATTACAAGGAAAAGTGGCATAAAAAATTATGGGCTGGGATGTAGCTCTGGGACAAAGCACTTGCCAAGCAACTGGGATTTCATCTGCTGTACCAAAAAAAAAATCAAGAAGTTTAAAGAGGCCTAAGAGTGGTCAGTGTAGCACTGTGTACTTCTCGATGCTTAGCTATCACTGAGGACATTTTGAAGCACACCTGTATATGAACTCTCTAGTCACTTCTACCAGTGCCAGTGGCCGGGAGCCAAATAGCAGGATAAAGGCTTGGGTTTTAGGTGTCCCACTGACCAAGTTAGAACACAAGTGTCAGATTTCTTCAGGTCACTAGATTAGGTGCTAATAAAATCCTTCCCCATGGCTGAGCTGTATCAACATTCTCACCAACCTCCAGGCTTACAACTCTAATCCTAACTCCTCAGGAGGCTAAGTTCTGAGTATTGAGGTTTGAAGCCAGCCTGAGTAAGAAAGTCCATACGACACCAGTCTCCAATGAACCACCAGAAAACTGGAAAGTAAGAGCTGTGGCTCAAAGTAGTAGAGTGCTAGCCTTGGGCAAAAGAGTTCAGGAACAGCATCCAAGCCCTGAGTTCAAGCTCCATGACCAACATTTTGAATTCTTTTTTTTTTTTTATGGTGAAAATACTGTACAGAAGGGTTACAGTTACATGAGCAAGATAATGAGTACATTTCTTATCAAGCATTGTAGCCTCCTCCTTTGTTTCCCTTCCCATCCCATCCTCTTTCGACCCCCCACCCAACCCTCCTCCCCCCTCACCACCAAAATTGTAAAGTTTGTTTTCGACATAACAACTTGTACGTCTCATTGTTGCAATGGGTCCACCTGTATCCCTATTTAAATGATTTGTTTTTTCCCTTCCCCTCCACAAATTATAACAACATCAAATACAGTGAAAGCAGGGGTTATACCGTGGTGGAGGGACATACAAAGCAACAAAGAAATAATCTTATAAATGTGTTAGAAACAATCGCATGAAAGAAAAAACACATTTGAATATATATCTTAGGGTTCATTTCCCTAACATCAACTTATCTGACCTTTTCTGCCTGACTCAGACATATACTAGTTATTGCAAATAAGGGAAACCATGGGACCTATGTTTCTTTGGGCCTGGATTACTTCATTTAATATAATTTTTTCCAAGTCTTTCCATTTCCTAACAAAAGGGGCAGTCATTCTTTCTGATGGAGGGATAGAATTCTTTTAGTAACCTTGAACTATATTTTCCTCCCCTGTTTTGGGGGAAGAATTGTCATGTATTCTAAAGTTATGAGTTGTTTCTTTGGATAGTAAAAGAACTTTTTAATGCACAGTTCTAGTTCGGGAAGATAAAACAACTGTAGCAACAATGATTGTCAATGGATTTCATATCCTGTCTCCACTTGTGCAGTTTACTCTGTCATTATAAGTCCAGTGCTTCTGAAGATTACAGGCCAGCATTATCTCTTCTAGGTCTGGGCTAACAGTTTGGACTCAAAACAAAATCCTGTTTGTCTTGGCGCTCTTCTCTCTTCTTACTTTAGACTTCGTGTTTGTTTCTGTATTTATGCATTATACAATTATCTGAAACATTATGTTGTATTTGGGGATTTCCATTTGAGTCTTTCAATACTGTTATTTTCCTGCTAAAAATGACCAGCTCTTCAATTGTGGCGATTATGCTCTCATTCGCTTCCTAAAGCAGATTTTACAAGGATGGTTTAAAATCTTAATGCAAGCTCCCTATTGTTCATTTGATTTCCCTTCCTTTCCCCTTCCCTTCCCTTCCCTTCCCTTCCCTTCCCTTCCCTTCCCTTCCCTTCCCTTCTCTTCCTTTTCCTCTTCCTCTTCGCTTTGCCTTCTCCTCCCCTCTCTCCCCCTCCCCTTCTGACATGGAGCTGTGTGGCTCAAGTGGCAGAATGCTAGCCTTGAGTGAATAAGCTTAAGCCCAGTACTGGTGTGGGCATGTGTGCGTGTGTGCACACACACATACACACACAAAAATCAAATATCCAAACGAGTTAAGGATGAGCCATCTTAAATTCTGACAAACTGGTACAGGGATCATTGCAAGTTGAAAACACTAGAAAATCTGTATGTACATATGGAAAGGGCTAGCTGATCTGTCCTTTCCTAAGGGTAGCTGTCCTGAGTATTCCTTTGAACAAGTCTCTCCCTATTACAAGGCAAGAAAAGATCCTTTATCATCAGAGCCTAGTGATGGGGACTGGAGGAAGTTGGATAAGTACACTCACCATCTTTGCCATCTTCCCCTTCCCAGTAGAACTTGCAGTAACATCCCAGGGATTTACCAGCCTGGCCCAGAGATCCTTGTGGCCTGTCATTTCATCAGAGATTTGTTGGGCTTTGTCCAAAAACATCTTGCTTTGACCATTTCTTCAGACTGTATTCTTGTGTGGAGAGCTCCGTGTACAATGTAAAATCAATAAAACACAAGGACTTCTCTTCTGTTAACCTTTCTTATATGAATTTGGTTTGTAGACCTAGCTAGCTAGAACCTATGTAAGAACTAAGGGTGGGCAAAGTGAATTCCTCCTTCCCTACACACATTGGTACTGATGAGACATGGTCACATGAAGGAACTTCCCACCCTGGATAGAATTTTCACTTCAATTCCTTCATCCTCCTCCTCTTTCTCCTCCTCTTCCTCTTCTTCCCCTTCTCCTCTTCTTTTCTTTCTCCTCCTCTTCTTCTCCTTCCCCTCCTCCTCCTTCTCCTTCTCCTCCTTCTTCTCTTTCTCCTTTTTCTTCCTGCTGGTAATGGGGCTTGAACTCAAGTCCTCTTGCTTAGCTTTTTCCATTCATACTACCAGTTGAGTCACATCTTCACTTCCATCTTTTATTTTTTTCTTGCTGGTTACTTGAAGATAGTAGTCTCATGGACTTTCCTGCTCAGGCCACTTACAACCTTGATCCTCAGATCTCAGCTTCCTGAATAGCTAGGATGGCACATGTGAGCCACTGGCTCCAACTTTAATTGCTTCTTTAAAGAGTCTTCTCCAAGTGAGCTCTCCTTCTGAGATACTGGGGATTATAATTTCAATCTAGTCTAAAACAATGTAATACCCCACCTACTCTCCATGATGTAGATTCAGTAACAGCAACTAGTTTCAAACCACTTTAGAGTTTCTGTGGAGAGTATATATGAATATATATATGTCTGTGTATTAATTACAACTGAGCATAGAGAATTCAACTTGTTTCTCAAAGCTGGACATTGAACATGACCTTTAAAACTTATAGTGCTTCTAGAAATCAGTTGTTTAACCATCAGTGGCTTTTCATTGTGCTCACAATTTTGCAGCATGAAATCCCCTAGTCTCCTCTAGATACATCTTATTGGTAACTCTCAAGTCATAGATCTATATTGTAGCAGCAAAAGAGTTTAGGAGCCTCTGACTCTCCAGAAGAAATCACAGGCTAAAATGATACACATGTTCCCAAACAGCAGAAAGTAACTCAGAGATTTCCAGCAGCCAAGTATAACAAATAATACTCTGTTTTGATGGCATAATTACATAAAAACACAATTAGCTTTCCTCTTTTATCTTTCTTTTTTCCTCCCTCTTCCCTCCCTCCCTCCTTCCATCCCTTCCATCTTTCTTTCCTTCTTTATTTCTTCCTTCTTCTTACCCCTTCCTTCCTTCCCCCTTCCTTCCTTCCTTCTTTCCTTCTTTCCTTCCTTCCTTCCTTCCTTCCTTCCTTCCTTCCTTCCTTCCTTCCTTCCTTCCTTCTTTCTTTCTCTCTTTCAAATGTGTGTGTGTGTGTGTGTGTGTGTGTGTGTGTGTGTGTGCATGCCAATACCAGGGCTTGAACTCAGGGCCTTCTGCTTTTGTTCAGGGCTAGTGCTCTGTCACTTTAGCCATTCCTCCAGTTCAGTTTTCTCTTTAAGTTGTAATTATTTTAGTTATGATGTATGTTTTTATTGTTCCAGTGGCAACTTCTAAATGGATGAAAATGGTAAAAGAAAATTCTGTACCCAATTTCATGCTAGTAATTTAAAATGCCAAAGGACATGAGTGGTTGTTCCAGGCAGGATCAGTTACACTTGACTACCGTGAGAAAAATGTAAAGCATTTGTTAGCACAGTCTCATCCCCGAAATACTAGGCTAAGAGGGCACTAGAGATTACTCCTTTGACCTTCAAAGAATAGGAAATTCTCGCAATGTTTAATATGTTCCAGAGCTCAGATAAAATAAACTTTCCAGTTCCATTGGCTGGGTTGGACTCATTAGATGTCTGCCTCTCAGCAGACCATAGCCGTCATGTTTGGTAATGAAGGTGTAGAAGGGGTGTTGACGTGCCAGCATACACCTGTGATCAACCCTAGACCTGAAAGGACAGGAGCAAGATGATGATCAGGATCCGGAAAGAAGGCTACACAGGAGCTGTGATATTTGCTCTGGGGACTCCATTTCTGTGGACTTTGCAGAAGGAGGCTGGAGGACAGAAGCCGGCACCTTATTCTCTTCCACTCTCTAGTCTCCTTCCTGGGGTCCTCACTGACCCAACCCTATGGTTTCTAGGTCAATGGGGCCTCGTGATGTGGTCCATGTGTGTCAACCACCTAGGGTAGCCATAGTTGGGGAGAAGGAGAGACAGTTACTCTCTGGAGGAGAGACCAGAACTTTACATCATGAACCATGTGCCCCGAGTTCCATCTACAAAGGCCGGCATGGAGTAAACACATGGAGGACAAAGCAAACTTTGAG